CCAATGCTGGGAGTGCCACCCAGGGATGAAACATAAACAAACAAACAACCCCCCCCCAACCATCACAAGCAGCAAATGATAAGGAAACAGCTGTGGCTGTTGATGGGAATGACATGGTTTACTATTCTAAAATTACCAAGATACAGTACAACTGAGTTTTAAAGTTCATTAATGACATTCATTTCCAGAAATGAGAATGGTTCATTTGTTGCTTTTTCAAATGTGCTCATTCTTTTTTCAAAGGTCCTGTTTGTTGAATTTGGTTTCTATTCCTTCTCTTCTCCCTTTTAATTCATTTTGGAACCTTGTTTACATCTCTTTCACGGTTTCACTATCATCTCTAGTTCCCTGGGCGCCGATTCTCCACCTGCTGCCTCTCCCCCGCGGCGGCCCTTTCCCGTGTGGCTGGTGGACAAGACGGGCAAATCCACAGGAGTCCGAGTGGGGGAGACTATGGCCAACTGTATTATCAATTGAGTTGTCTTCTTTGTGTAAAGGCAACAGTTATTATCACATAGCAAAAACTAAGAAAACACACATCAATGTGCTCTTATTGTTTTTTTTTAATTTATTTTTAAAATTTATTTATTTTTAGAGAGAGGGGAAGGGAGGAAGAAAGAGAGGGAGAGAAACATCAGTGTGTGGTTGCATCTCACAGGGCTGCCAATGGGGGCCTGGCCTGCAGCCCAGGCACGTGCCCCGACTGGGAATTGAACTGGCGACCCTTTGATTTGCAGCCCATGATCCATTCATGCTACACCAGCGAGGGCATCTTATTTAAAAAAATTAAAATCACATACCAGCCTATTACGAGATAAATCCATAGTAATCACTCAAGTGTCTATAAGAAAAGAAGGAATATAGACACTGATGTTTATTTTTCCCTTCTAAAAATCCGTTCTGATGTAATCTAAAACGTGGTCAAGAACTATTTGTATGGATAGGTAGTGCAGTTATTAGTAAGAGGGGCAAAAGGAAATAGATGTCTTAAATTAGCAGAATATCCGTACGACAGAATGTTTACAAGGAGTTATTGATCACACTGAGAACTAGTTATGATACGTTAATTGTAAAACATGGGTTCAACAATATAAAGAAAAAAAACAGAAGATCGGAAGTAAATATGCCAAAATGTTAACAGTGATTACATGGTAAGATTATGGATATTTTGGGTGTGTATTACTTTACACATTATAAATGTCAACAATCCATATTAACTTTATAATCAGAAAATGGCAAAACGTATCTAATACTTTTTATAATGAAAACTCCTAAGAAAACAATAGTCAAGGACTTAAATATCTGGAGCAATATTAAATAAGAAAGATAAAATATCATAATACTGACACTGACATTATAGTCCACATTTTATTCCCAGCGCAGCAGCCAGAGTAGCCTTTAAAACGAGGGGGAGAGCGAAGGTCATGTGTCTCCCCCACTTTGACGCTCAAAGGCTCCCCGCTTCCCTCAGAGTAAAAGCCGGAGTCCTTACAATGGTCGACGAGGCCCAGCGTGATCTGACCCCCTGCTACATCTCCAACCTCCTGTCCCTACCCCAACTAAAGCCAGCCACACTGGTCTCCTTGCTGTTCCTCAAAACTACTAAGCACACACCTGCCTCAGGGCCTTTGCACTCACTATGCCCTCCATTGAAAATGCCTCCCATCCCTACAGCTACACAATATGCTTCTAGCTCTGCTCAAATGTCATTTTATCTAGAAACCCTTCCCTGACCCCCCATATAAAGTAACAGGTACCCCCATTGTTCCCAGCACCCTTTCCTGCCTTCATCCCAAGCACTTAATCACAACCTGAGACACAGCAGCACTTACTTAACTGTGCTTGTGGTCTCCCTCCCACCGGAAGAGCTACTTCACCCGCCCATGGAAGACGCCCAGGAAACATGTGCTGCACCCGCATGAACACCTGCACCGGGCCGTTAACCCCCGGAGCGCAGAGGGCTGATGCACACACCGCTGCCCCGCTGCTGTGCACAAAGCGGGCAGCGAAGCCAACCTGACAGCCCCAGGGACGTTGAACCAGCATTCATCTCACTCCAGAATTAAAAAAAAAAACATTTAAAAGCTGGAGATTATGGAAGTGAAACATCCGAAAGAAAGATAAGAGTTTTCGGGCAGAGCATTATGCCAGCCTATACCAGAAAACTTGTTCTTCCACTGGGATGCGCCTTCTATGGCGGGACGGAACTCCTCATTTTTTAAGATTTTATTTATTTTTAGAGAGAGGGGAAGAGAGGGAGAAAGAGAGAAAGAAAAACATCTGATGAAAGAGAAAAACATCAACCAGTTACCCCTCACATGCCCCCAACTGGGGAGCTGGTTGGCAACCCAGGCAGGTGCCCTGACTGGGAATCGAAGGGTCGCGACCTTTTGGTTCACAGGCCGGCGCTCCATCTACTGCGCCACACCAGCCAGGGTGGAACTCCTCATTTTTATCACAGATTCAGACCAGCTATCTGTTCGGCACTTAAAATGACATTTTAAATGCTCTTTATATTTAGCTATTTCTCTGCTGTGATTAGATATCTTTCTAAGGAAAAAAAGACATTAGGAAACCAATTACCTTGTCACTCTCCCACCCCAACAGCAGGCGGGAAAAGGCGGCACCTGGGTGCGGCTCGCACAGGTGCCCAGCCTCGTAGGCACGCACACTTTTACGGCCCATTCACGCCCACTGAACGTCCGCAGCTGGCCAGGTCCTGCAGAGATGGAATGTACCATCCTTCATCTTGCTAAGTTAACTGGACTGTAGAAATGCAAGGACAAACTGCTAGCAACACGCACAGCCTAATCTTTTTTGCCTTAGGAAAGAGAAGAAATTTCATCCTCAGCTAGTTCGGGTTTTTCTGGGCACAGCAGCGCTCCGGAGGTTGGGACAGGCTGGTGGTGGCCCCTGCAACTGGCATCTCAGGACCGTCAAGGATGCGAGGGTAGCTCGTGGTGGGGGTGGACAGGGACCGCTGCCTCTGCAGCCCCCCACTGGGTTGGTCGCCCACCACATTCTTCTTTCCTCAGTCCACCTTCTTTTCGTGACAGCACCTCCATCTCTGTCCACGACAGTTCAGCTGTGACTTCATCCTGCTAAGGCGTCTCCCACAAGACACTGTCTGAAGAAATCTCCTCTCCCGTCAATATCTGCACCTTCAATGGGACCCCCGGAAGACCGGGACCCAGACCTTGAGTTTAAAGGGGGCACTTCTGGCTGGGGGACAGAGGGAGGCCCCTAACATTGACAGTGTGACTATGTGAGGACATATGGGTACTTTGCACATTTCACAACCTTCCCGAATTCTTACAGCTTCTCTAAGAAACAGAGATTGGCAGCTCCACTTCAGGGCGAGCAATCAGGGACCTCCCGGCCAGACGGAACGTTGAGTTCACGTGTTGAGAAGCTTTCCTGTTCTACAGACACACAGAAGAAACTGTCTGAACACGACAGGCAAATCTGTCTGTGTTTAAAAACAGGACGTGTGTCTCAGTAGCGAGAAACTCCAAATATTTACTCTTTTCGGGAGCTTCGAAGGTGCAGCCTGCGAAGCTCTGGGTTCTGAAGCAGGTGGAGGCACCTGGGGGCTTGCTGGTCCAGGGCGCAGGGGCTGAAAGTGTCCCCGGGGAGGTGGGGGACCAGGGCCAGAGTCACTGAAAATGGGGGCTGATGAAGAGGTCTCCTACCTGGGAGAAGAGGCTGATAAGTGCCCAGATTCCCCACCTGCACCCCCACACTGGAGCTTACCTGAGAGTGTGAATGTGGGGCTAGAAGCAGCTTGTGGCCAGGGCTCTGGGAATAATCACCACAGCCATGAGGCTCTGCTCTACCCAGAGACACCTGGCTGGGTCTGTGTTGGGGGGAACCAGGTGGGCCTGGGTGGAGGTGAGGAGCAAGGACAGAAAGGGGGAGAAGCTGATCCTATTCAAGATGACCATGCAGACCCAAATCCAAAAACACCTGAGAAGAGCCAATGCTAAGAAAGGTGATCAACACTACCAACAGTTGGGAGGTAGTCCCAGAGACCTAGTGAACTGGAAGACCGCACGGAACCATTTACCCGGAAAGCAGCCCAGAAAGACAAAGAAACGAACAGGCGTGGTTGGAAGCCACGGAGGATGGATTGAGAGGCCCCACGAGGTGTCCACCTGGGTTCTCAGACGTGGGGACAGGGGAGGGCAGGGCAGCCACGTTGGCTGAGAAGGTCCCATCACTGAAGGTGTTTTCTGGACCCTCAGATGAAAAGCGCAAACCAAGTGCTAAGCAAGATAATAAAGAAAAAATTCACATCTGGAAAACCAGGGGCATGTTCCCTCTGCTGGGCTCGCTCTGGCCCCCCATCCCTGCGTTATGACTGTCCCCAGAAGCGGCCTGCCAACGTCCTGCTCTGGTTCGGCCCCACTGCCGACGCTGGTGCAGTGAGGGAAGCCCTGGGTTCGGGTTAGGAGATGCAGGTTCGAGCCCCCCACCAGTTACTGCCTCGCTGAGCCTCCATTTCTTCCCCTAAAGAGGCTGCATTTATTTCCAGCTCCCACACCAACCAGCTTGGTGCCCACGAGTCTCCATTTCCCGTCAGTAGGAAGGGATAATAATAGCAGCCACACAGGGGCTGTGAAAGGATGAAATGAATTCATACATGTAAATAACTGAGCGCAGTGCCAGGCTCATAATAAACGTTCGATCTGGGGTGGCCATTACTGCTGCTGTGATAACAGATGCCACTCCCGATGCCACATGACCTCCACTCAGAGGGAAGGGCTTCCCACTGAAGCCAGACCCCAGGCACAGCAGACCCAGGGCCCACTGCCACCCCTGCACCCTGAAAAGGAGCAAGCCAGCAGCTGACCCCTCCCACTCTTCTCCCCGGTCACCCGGAGAGGTCCTCCTTGACCTCCAGAGGAGTCCCTCCCCATGCCCAACCATGAACTTCCCCAAATGGGGTGGGCTCAGACCCAGCCCCAGGGCCCCCCGCCAGGTTGCCCTGGGCACCCTACCTCTCTCTGCTCACTGCAGATCTTACACAGCCACAGGGGCCGCTTCTGGCCAGGGCAGGCCTCGATCCCACATTTGGTGCAGACTTTCTACAAGAGAGAGGACACAGGAAGGTGAACACCAGCTGCTTCCTCCTCAGCTGAGGGGCTGGAAAACTGTAACCAAGGAACCCTGTGCCGTATTCCGAAGGAGACGGCTTTTGCTTCAGGCCAAAGGGTAGACAACCCAAAGGGCGTACATGGGTCATCTGAAGCCCATGGGCGGCTTTGGGGCACAATGCACGTGCCCACCCACGGATGGCCGCGGTACAGGTTCGCCCCCGCGATTTCGTCCTGCAGGGGCCCAGCACAAACAAGCTTGCTGATCTTCGCAGCTGTCTCTTGTTCAGCAGCAGAGAACTGGAAAGCGCCCAAACGCGCGTCCCAGCGGAAGATCGGAGCACGCACAGCAGAACACGACGTGCCCTGTACGCAGCAGAGCGTGTCCGCTCCTGGCACTGTGGGCAGGGGTGATGTTATTCCACAAAGCAAACATACAACTGTGTACAAACACGCGAAAACCTCACCATGCATGTGCCTGACCAGGTGAGATGACGTGGTGAGAAATACCAGTGCCAGCTTGAGGTCTCGCTTCATGCCAAGTCCTCTCAGTAAATGATCCCGCGAATCCTACTACATAAGCTTTAGGCCCACTTTACTGGTGGGAAATCTGGGGTTGAGAATTTGCCAAGTTCACCCACCGAGTTCACCTTAGGTGTGACTCTCAAGCCATCATATCATTGCTCTGGACCCCTAAGCAGCCAGAACCCAGTGTCTGCAGTGTTCTTCCTTCTGTAGTGCTGCTTAAGCTCATAACTTCTAAGTAGGTACTTGTTTCCCCCAAATGCCCAGCAGCACACAGTGCTGGGAAAGGCCAGATGACATGCGCCAGAAGGTAGGGGGACTGGGCAGGGCTGAGACCTGCTCCCGGCTGGGGGGGGCGTCTGACTTGGTGACAGCAGGTGCTCCTCCGAGGACTGTCACTCGGGGCTAATCCATCTTCCTACCACGGGGTAGCTGCCCAGTCCCTGCAGGTGGGGGTTCTCTCCTGCCCCCCCCTCCCTCCACCGAGGGAAGGCCAGATCTACTGCTTGTCCTTTTCTGCAGGCTGCCAACTGAGCAAGAAGCACACCTCTCCATGGAGAGGAAAATGTCACCGACTTGGCTTCCCAGAGCATGTCGTCACTGCCTGACTGGGCAGCTGAGCCCAGCACAGCAGGTGGGAGCCAGCTCTCGGCTGAAGGCAAGCTCTGATAGAGTCTCGGGCGTGTGCATTCGCCACCATCCAAAACTCGGGTGTGGCAAGCGTCCCTTTCCTTCTGTCTCTCCAAACAAAATGTCATCTTGTCCAAGCCCCCAGCTCCCTGTGCTGGCGAGAAAGTCCGCCGCCGTCACAGTTGGGGCCCCTTCCCAGCTCCCGTGAGGGTCCTGGCTTGGGTCTTCCGAGGTGCAGCACATGTTGGGAGGGTCCCATGTCCGGGGTGCTCACTGCCATGCTGCTGTCCCTCAGAAAGGGAAGGGTCCCGGCTGCCTCCACGCCGGCCCGGGGCTCAGCCTCTCCTCTCCAGGGGCGTGCGGCACCACCCCCCACCCACCAAGCCACCATCCCTGACCCTGTCTGGAGATTCTCTCTTCTCCACTGGAGCTGCCGCTTGATACTCCTCACAACGCTCACCCCCAAACCCTTCTACCTCTGGGGCAGGGGGGCCCATAAGGTGGGCCTCGAGAAGCACGCACAGGCCTTGCCTCCCAGGGGTAAAGAGAGGGGAAGGAGGACGTGAAACCAGGTAGGTGGCTGGTTTCTCTGCTAATTCCCACACCCGGGATAAGCAACTGGTGCACGTGTGAAAAGAGGTGTGGCCCTCAAGGGGTAAGATTTTCCTATGAAGTTTTCTGTGTGCTTACAGGGTTTGCTGACAGCTCACCCTGCAAGCACAGAGTGCTCTGCCCCTCCCTGCGAGACAGTGGCGCTGGGAATAAGGAGAGAACGGAGACCAGTTGCTACCCTTTCCGAGCAATTGTCTGTGCCAGGCAACAAAGGAGGAAGGGGGCGGGGGTTAGGATCTCCATTATACAGATGAGGAAACTGAGGCTCAGAGAGGCTCAGTTAAAGAGTGCCTGAGGTCCCACAGCTAGTCAGGGGCCACTGGGACTTGGGAGGCTCCCTCCTTCCAGACCTCAGGAGAGCGGATAACACCCTCCGCGGCCTGGTGTCCAGCTGGTGCCACGGGTCTCCGAGGAGCCGGTTCACATGCTGGGAGTGTGGCCGATGGCTCTCAAATGAATGGGCAGCCCTGGCTGGTGTGGCTCAATGGATTGAGAGCTGGTCTGTGAACTGAAAGGTCAACGGTTTGATTCTCAGTCAGGGCACATGCTTGGGTTGTAGGCCAGGTCCCCAGTAGGGGGCGTGTGAGAGGCAATCAATCGATACATTTATCACAAACATCAATGTTTCTCTCCTTTTCTTTCTTTCCTCCTTCCCCTCTCTCCAAAAATAAATAATAAAATATTTTTAAAAAACATTTTATTTATTTATCTTTAGAGGGGAGGGGAAGGAGAGAGGGAGAGAAATATCAATGTGTGGTTGCCTTTCGTGCATCCCCTGCTAGGAACTGGCCTGCAACCCATACATGTGGCCTGACTGGGAATCGAACCAAGATCCTTTGGTTCGCAGGCCTGTACTCAATCCACTGGTAGCTACACCAGCCAGGGCTAAATAAAATCTTTTAAAAAATAAAATAAAATGAATGGGCAGAGGAGTGGACAGAATGACCTGGGATGAGGCTTTGCTGGGATGGGACTGGAGCACAGACTGGGGCTGGGGAGTCTGGCTCCGCCCTCCTCACTGTTCCTCAGGAAGGAGGGCAGCAAGCAGCTCATCACAGGAGAGGGGTTTCAGCCTCCGTCCCCACAGCCTCCCTCCCACTCTGCCCTCCCTGCCCTATGCATCGAGCAAAGATGGGGCGGTGGAGGTGTGGCTTGTGCTCCTGTCTTAGTGAGCTTGGGCTGTTATAATGAAAACCCGTAGACCAGGGGGCCTCACTGACAGACACCATCTCCCAGTCCTGGAGGCTGGGACTCTGACGGGGTGCCAGCTCGGTCAGGTTCTCGGTGAGGGCCCTTTACGTTTGTCCCTTCTCACTGCGTCCTGACAGGGTGAAGGGAGAGCTCTGGTCTCCTCCTGTTCTTACCAGGGCTCCGCCCCCGGCGTGGGTACCCAGCCTCACGCCCTCATGGCCTCATGAAGTCTAGTCGCCTCCCAAACACCATCACACTGGAGTTGGGCTGCAGCATAGGAATTAGGGGAGGACATAGCCTCCGACTGGAAGAGTGACCTTTCTTTTGCTTCTGCACATGGGGAGCCCTAGAAATGGGCTCATCCTCCCCCGTGTCAAGCCTGGATCACTCAGAGCGCAGTCCTCCTGGGGCCTCGACCTTGCGCTGCCCTGCACTGTCACCAGTTTTAATTTCCAGAAACACAGCTCTGGGCCTTGGTGCCCTGGGCACAGGCTTCGGAGTGAGGCAGGCCTTGGGCAAGCCACTCACGCCTCACCAAGCCTCAGATGTTCTCATCGGTAAAACGGGATAATATCGATCCCCAGTTGTCCTGAGAACTAACTGAGATACACATGAAGAGAGGCCAGCACGTAAGAAGCTTTGAGTAAGTGCCAGTCTCGTTATTATCAGTGACACACCCATGCCCTGCTCAAAAACCTTGCGTGATTCTCCTCTAGACCTGCACCATCTAATAAGGTAGCCACCAGCTACATGTGTCTACTCAAATTAAAATTATTTAAAATTAAATACAACGAAAAACCTAGTTTCACAGTCACACTAACCAGATTTCAGGTGCTCAACAGCCACACGTGGTTGGTGGTGAGCATGTCGAATGGCACAGAAGTGAACATTTTCATCATCGCAGGAAGTCCTGCCAGCTGGCTCTGGGCCAGAGGACCCAGACCTCGGTCTTGGCGCCTCGGCACCCCCGTCGCCCTTCACGGCCGCTCCTGCTGCTCCCCCACAAGGCCTCACTTTCCTTCAGACCTGTGTGCTGGGGTGGCTTTGGTCTCCACCCCACCTCAGCCCACCCCTCCCCATCTGACTCCTGCCCAGCTTCAGGTCACGGATTCCGGTAACTATCACCTGCAGGGCCCGGGCCTCGTGTGCTCCCAGTGAAGCACCCGACGCTCAGTCCCAGGTCAGCCTGCCAAGGCCGAGGGGCCGCCCGGCTGCATGCAGGAGTGAGAGGTAAGCAGGGTTTGAAGGACGGGTGTGCACATGCCCTCGATAAACATTGTCTGACTGACCACACAGCTGTGCTGCTGGGGGCAGGGACAGAGACCAGGAGAGAGTGCCCAGAGCTGCATCCTGTCTTCTACCCACAGGCCACGGCACTGCCTGACCGGGGACAGAAGTGGTGTGGGCCAGCTGCCCCCAGAGGCTGGGTGTGTCGAAGGCTGACGGTCAGCTCCCATGTTGGGGTGGAGGTATGTGTGGCATGTCCCAAATGTCCCTTCCTGCCTTTGCCCTGTGGGGTGCTGTGAGGGCCAGGGTAGCCTGACGAGGGACTCCCCCCTCGCCCACGCACAGCCCTGTTTGCAGGCTGCCGGGCTTCAGCGGCGGAGCCCACGGCCAGATCCCACCGCCCCTCAGCCGTGCAGCGTCTCTGGCTGGGGAATCCAGGCCAGCAAAATGATAACATGCTCCAGTTCAAGTAATACATAATTGCTACTCCGCTGAATCTCGAATCAATGAGACTAATGAGCCGTTTCCCCTAGGGGCTTGGTCTTTATTCCCAGGTTCCAAAAAAAGAAAATTAAGCAGGTAGTATTTTAAAAAGCCAGTGAGAGAGAGTGTGAGCCAGCTGCAACTTTAAAGGGACACTGAGCAGCCCTGTCAAGGCCGGCCCTGGGGCCTAGGGCCGTCACTTGCTTTCCTGCGTGGGACGGGCTGGCATTGAGCAGAACTGCCCTGGGCGAGTGGGCACTGGCTTCCCTGGAGGGGCTGCCTGTGTGTCCCACAGCCTGAAACTGTGTCTGAGGATTAAACAA